AAGGCAGTGTTTGTATGAAAATGCCTGAAGGCAATGATTATACTCACCAGAGCAACTACATCTGTAGGCGGATCAGTGTGTGTGTGTTTGTGTACATCTGTATGTGTGTTTGATATATTTACTGCCACACGTGAAGATGCACAGACACACAGATACAAACACTGCCACACATTCAGGTACATAGACAAACAGATACAATCACTGATACAGATACAGACACACCGCCGATACAAATACTGACACACATGCATATACACAGACACGGTGTATAGGTAAGTGTATTGGCTGCAGTGCACACACAGACACACGCTACATTCCCAGCACACAGACACACAATTCATCCCGAGCACTCGTACAGACACACACTACATCCACAGCAAACACGCAGACACGTTTTATCCCCAGCACTCACACATTGCGGGGGGGAGGGGAGGAGCATTTCATCCTTGGACCAAGGCAGCACAATGTGTTGGGCTGGCCCTGCCCGGCAGACACAAAAACTGACAGACAGGCCTTACCTTAGGAGCACTATGCGAAAAATCCTCATTGTACCTCTCCCTTGCCCATTCCTTTGCCCTACCTAAAGCTATTGTAACATTTGGGCCAAAACAATTTATCTTGGAGAATATTACTGAACTGAACATAAATGAATTGGATTTTTTTTTCTTCCTGTTCAGTTTTTTTTAAAATAGAGAAGTCCATACCATGCCAAGAGATCAGAATAAATGTTTGTGTGTTAGCTTAAGCCCTTGTATATTTATAGTTTCCATGAATGTCTCTCCCAATTGCCCTCTTTCCACCTTGTGTGTCTCTTATTTCCTTTTACTCTCTTGTTTCTTAACCCACTGTTACTTCTTGTGTGTCTCTTAATCCCTTTTAAACCCTTTTTTGCCCCCACATAAATGCAGTCACATGCATAGATGCCTAGACATGCAATCACATATACATATGGACATAATCGCAAACTGAACACATCAATATCGAATAAAAGTGACTGCACTAAAATCACAGAATTCAATTTCTTTTGAATAATATAAAAAGGAAAAAAAAAACTATATATGGTTCTCCAAACTAATGAGGTGACCATATCTCCATATATACGTGATACACAAAACAAGGAAGTACAGCACTCCGCATTCTAAATCACAACATACATAATCACATAATTACACACATACAGTCTCATGTATACCTAGACAGTCACACACAATACAATGCACACACATTCACACAGCCATATGGACACTGTATCGGTCAGATACACACACACACACAGTCATATACTTACACAACATAAGTAACAACCGTCCCTCCTAGTCACATACACACAGTACTTGCTGTTTTGAGCACCAGAGGGAGTAGAGGAGGCCTGGGTCCCTAGTGTCTAATGTCTTCCTGCTTCCTCTCTGTGCAGATGCAACTATAGACTTGATGAGGCCCTCTTAAACAATGTAAGGATCATCTCTATAAACTAATTTGTATATATTATTTTTCATGCAAAGCTTCTACGTAAAATATTTTTTCTTATTTCAGTTTGTTGTATATGTACAGTGATGTATACACATATACAAATCCACAGATCATATCTCATATATAGATATGCTCTCATTCACATAAATATAGAGACACATACCAACATACACTGTCACATACATACCGGGTTATTTACAAAAGTGAGAATTCTCAGGAATTAAAAGTGGATTTTATTTTTAAGGCCACAATAGTCTTTCTGGAAGCACTGAATTCCTGAGAATTGTTTTAGTGAATAACTGTGTGAGACATGAACTAACACACACATCACAATCACAATCATCACAGACACACATTATTATCATATACATAAACCTGTGTACCAGCCCAGGATTGGTCCTGGTTATAAGAGAAGTGTAATTGTAACATATACATATCGTGGGCTTAATTTAGAAATTGAGGGCTTGGGCTACTTGTGCTAATTCTTAATATTAACTCAAATTTTTTTTCCAATAGGAGAACTTTCTGCTCAGTCGGTCCAAGTTGAAGAGAAATTCAGCAGTGTCTCCGATCAGTACTCTCAGCTTTATTTTCAGCCGCTTGTCCTGACAGGTTGGTTATATTCCACACTTTAATTTGCGCGTCACAAGAAAATCCCATGTTTTAATTATAAAATTCTGTATTAAATATATCCTAACTCTTTAAGTAGGGAAAAACATCTGGCTTTATATATGTGTGTGTGTGTGTGTGTGTATGTATATATATATATATATATATATATATATATATATATATATATATATATATATATATATATATATATATATATATATATGTGTGTGTATGTAAAAAACAAAACAAAAAAAAAACAGATAAAATGTGTATCTTGTAATACCTTTTATATTGGAATATATAGAATTTTTAATGACAAGCTTTCGGGAGAACCTTCCTTTCTCAAATCTGAAGCATTTCTGAGCAAGACGATAGAATTCAAAGTTGAGTTGTGATACAGGGGTTAAAGCGACATGAGTGCAGATAAGACACAGGTTTTATAGAAAATAGACAACATTCTTGCAGAGGGCCATACATATCTTTCTGAAGAGCAGAGTGAGGGGGAAGAGGGAGTTCTTACAGCAGAGTTGATTTGAGCCTTGTTAACAATAACCGTACGTATAACATGAACTTAGAGGTAGTGAGGATAGCCCCGTGAAGTGACATTAGCGGAAGAGATGCGATATTCAGTATGGTGAGGTGGTAGGAATCGAAAACCTTCACCGGGCACCATATATTATTCTTGGGATAGTATGGAATGTGGACGGGTTGACCCAGTTGACTTGTTTTGGTCACGGGTAAAGTCAGTATGTAATGATCTTGATGTTTAATTAGGTAGGAGCTTTGAAGGTGTCAGGATTACTGTTTGATCCAGCACGTAGAACTGTACAGCACGGATGACAAATAAGTAACGTATTACCGGTCCTAAGAATGGCCGGATTTAACGTACAAAGAATAGTCAAAAATGCTAGCCGAGGTCAGGGAACACAGAAAGGGACACAGCGATGAGGAAAGCCAGGAGTCAGGATACCAGAATATAGAGAAGTCAATAAACAAAGCCAAAGTCAAAAACCAGGTAGAAAACTATAAACAGGAACGCGCTCTCAGACAACCACAAGGGAAACCACGACAGGGCACTGAGCAGGCTGAGAACTGGGCCTAAATACCCCTCCTTTAGTTCTGATAGGCTGTAACCGGCCTTTGACCCCAAAGTCAGTTACCAGGTTTCATTTGCATAATTGCTGCTCAGCATTAACCCTTCTGTGGATTAGGTTGCTGCTCGGCACAACTTTTCCTGTGTGGACAGTAAATGTCATTAATCACTTTTCTCTAAGCGGATGAATACATGACACCAGGTTTCATTTGCACAATTACTGCTCAGCATTAACCCTTCTGTGGATTAGGTTGCTGCTCGGCACAACTTTTCCTGTGTGGACAGTAAATGTCATTAACCACATTTCTATAAGTGGATGAATATGTGACAGAAGGCAACCTTGTGCGTTGTGTTGGCAACTGATGGCCTGGCGTAAAAGGCCAGGTAAATAGCGGTTTTAATGACCGAGTTAGTAAGGGGTTTGAAAGGGGCTGAACCTAGCAAACCAGATGTATTTTTGATAACCTTAAGTATAGTCTGGCTGGATAGGATGAAAGGAGACTGGTGTTGTTGGGAAAGTAGAGAAACATGTGATGTTGCATGCCAGTCAAGCATAACTTGATAGTATAGTGAGAGAGCCTAAATTGAAAGTGGCAAAAAAAGGTTGCGAACACAACCAGAGACATAATAACCAACATTATATAATGAAGGACCATTTACCTGTGACATGACAATTGGTGACAGCAATTGCTGGGAGACCACTTAGGGCACAACTTGAAATACCTTAGAACCTGGAGGAGTAATACCGTGTACATTGAAATAGCGGTATCTGCCAGATACGTGAGCCTTCGAGGGCTAAGGAAATTGTTGTAAACATGTAAGTGACAACCAATATATACCTTGCAAACAATTGAGGGATAACACAAGCGACTTAGACTAAACTAGGTGGCATGAATATGAAAATACCAGCATATGACATCAACCATAAATTAATAGCATTGAGGCAAAAAGCTAAATTCTAATAATGCATAAACTCTGGAAAGTAAGTGAATCGGGAACCTGTCACATGTATAAGCCCCTGCTGCCTGAAAATAATGGGATAACCCAGAGACAGATAATTGATGAACGTAGATAAGTGATTAATATAGCGAGGGCCAAGTTGATAAAACCAACTTATATAGGAGAAATAATAGAGTAGAAAGGGTTCAGAACTGGAAATGTATCAATACTGAAGAAAACCAAAAGAATAGTCTAGGTAACTAGTATCAGTATCAACAAGACTATACAATTAAAAGTATCTGCAAGGACCATAATGGTGGACAATTGAAGCTAACAAGTGTATGAGAAGCAAACCAACAACCCCGAATTAGTATAACTAAACTAAAGTAAACCTTTGTTAGCCGATGAGTCCCATGAGGGTTGTAGTTAATGTAACTATAGTGAATGTATATAAAAGTTAGTTTATATTAGTGAACCATATGTGTAGGCCCAAATTGGGCTTGCCATGATTGATCCAGTCAATAGCGACACTTAGCCATGTAGGGGGCCAAGACATATAATATAAGTTGATATGTCCCAGTAAGGAGCCTAATATCGGAAGCTGAAGAATGCATCGCTGTGAAGCTACTTATTAATGAAATGCTGAATATGATAGTAGTGAAATTTGCCCTGAAAGAACAAACATACAGTTAGTAGAAACCGATTAAATCAGCCGTGGCAGGCCGCCATGGCGACTTCTATGAGTACGAGGTAGGGCCGGCTCAACTTAAAGATGACATGTTTTAGTATAATAATGATGTTGTCACAATATGTCTGTTAGGTGTGGCATCGGAACTTATCTATATCCTAATTCACCTATTAGTGTAGGGCTGTCCAAACTGCGGCCCCCCAGATGTTGCTGAACTACAACTCCCATGATTCCCTGGCTATCGGTTTCATTGAAAGAATCATGGGAGTTGTAGATCAGCAACATCTGGGGGGCTGCAGGTTGGACAGCCCTGTATTAGTGTAAAAACTTTTAGACAGAAAGTCGGGAATCATGATAGAAAGTCAATATCCTGTTGGATATCTGAATGTACAGGCGCAAGTGCTCAATATCGAATTGTGTTATGATCATATCGAGGCTCAGCGTCCTGTTAACTGCATGATTCGACAACGTATTTCTAGTCTTTCATTTATTTTCCCCTTAGAGGACATGTGTGCTGAGAACATTGCGTGGAGTTTGGTATTGCTCGAACAACTTGTGCCTACTCCAGCATCAGCATCGTCCGTATTGGTACACATGAGCCTGAACAGTTCCGCTTTCTCGGCCGTTGCTGGGAAAAGAACGTTGCGTCTGTGTAGCTCAGGCTTAATACCAGGAATGGTCCATGACCTGATAGAACCTGATAGGTGTCACCTTTTTGTGTAGGTGTAGTGGACAAGACTGAAGTACTGGGTATTGGCATGCCATTATCTTCTTATCTTCTGAGACATTCTGCAATATATTAATAATTAGCTTAGATCAAGATCGTTTTGCTGGCTGGCTAGCTAGTGCCAAGTGGCGAAGCAATTCACTAGGTTGGTGACGGGTGAGTCCCTGCTAGTTGCCAAGTGGCTTGAGAGGCTCTATGCTTTGGCGCGAGGGGATTCGTGGCCACCGAATGTTGTGGTGGGGTGTTGGCCTCTCGGTAAAATTTAAATAATGAGATTGGGTGTGACAAGTGAAGCCCTCTCTATGCCACTGTGCAAGGCAGCGAACTGTTTTGGCCTGGGGGAGGGGGGCGTAATACCTCATGCGTGGAGGATGGGTGTTGGCCTCGTGAAACCACTAACTCCAGGGCAGTGATGCCAGAAACTTAACATCTATTAGTCACCTAGATCCCTATAAGCCAGTAAAACCTACTCCTAAAAAGGTCTATTTTGCGGGGAGCCATTGTGACTAAAAAACATACCTGAATTTGTGTACGAGTTTGTTTAGTTCTGTATGGTATGGTTGTAACCTGTAACTGAAATCTGCAGTACAAAAGAGAGTAGTGCTCTGTCCAGTGGCTGAATAGCATATTAAAAAATAACTTATAATATTAATAAAACAGGCTAGGATAATTGCCATACACAAAATGAATACATTGGAAAGAAAAGGGTAAAGAGAGATCAATATATATACAAAAGATACGCTGATTATAACGCATGTGATTAATTTAGCAGGCAGTTAAAAGCTGCAGCATATCTCTCCTCAAAAGTGTGAGGTAGAAAATACCCTTAATAGAATATAAGTGGTGGCGATATCCCTACAGTAATAGTAGTGTAGAGACAAAGTATCAACCGACCGATACTTGACTGAGAGCCTCTGAAATCAGAGTATATTGCAGACAGATGTCTGAATTGGGAGGTCGCCAACAGTGTAATTCAGGCTAGTAAACTGCACTTCTAAGTGGCAGAGGTAGGCAATCACTGTAGGAACTGAGAGAGCCTAGATTAAGTGATTGCAGAAGCCACTGAATTAAGGTTCCCTCTTGAAGAGCCGCCTACCGGCGAAACATGCGTGGGGGCTCCAACCTTAAGCCTCATTCTGCTGTTGACCGACTACCAGTTCCTAATGCGTTAGTATGTTATATTCTTTATTTGACCTTGCAGAATATTACTTAGGTTTCCAGTCCGGCTCTATCAGTGAACTTTTCGACTGGGCATTCATTCCCTGGCTACCCCGGTTCACTACTTAGATAACCGGTCTTAAGATTTTACTTTTTGATTACTAGCTAGTGTAGAATTGATTTTAGGTGCCCTTGGAGGCACAGACCAGGATTCTCACAATAGGTGACCTTGAAGGCACATGATTAGTTATTGAAAGTGAATGCTGTTTATTTTCTCTTTGTTATTTTGTTAATTGGCTTGCTTCAGTGGCTCCTGCAATCACTTAATCTAGGCTCTCTCGCTTCCTACCCTGATTGCCTACCTCTGCCACTTAGAAGTGCCGTTTACTAGCCTGACTGTTGGCGACCTCCCAATTCCGACATCTGACCGCAAAATAATCTGATTTCTGAGGCTCTCAGTCAAGTATCGGTCGGTTGATACTTTGTCTTTACACTACTATTACTGTAGGGATATCGCTACACCTTATATTTTATTCTCTACCTCACACATTTGAGGATATATTGCAACTTTTAACTGCCTGCTAAAATAATCACTTGAGTTATAATCAGCTTATCTTTTGTATATATATTTCTCTCTGTTTACCCTTTCTTTTCCGATTTATTCATTTTTTTTTTTAATTCTTTATTTTTGGTATGCAAGTAGGTACAACAGTGCCTGTTTCGCCCCAACGGCATCAGCAGGCTCGATTTTCATAGTCATATTATAACAGTTGTGGCATGTTGAGTATGCATACATTTTTAAATGAATAAGATAATGATACAGTAAACAATACAGTAAACAAGCTATAAGCAAAATGGTTTAAGTTAAATTAGCATAACTGGTTTAGTCACCAGGTTTGTATACTAATAGGAAAACATTAATATAAGATTTGCTTGTCTCGTATTTCACACCATTTATACATAATAAAGTGAATAAGCTATTTGCGGCACGTCGCCCGCTGGGTTAGTATTACTAACACGTATAGTCAAAATGGTATCGTAAGTTTGTGCACCGCCCAACATTATGTGGGTGTTAGACTATAAGCAAAAACACAGTGGTATACTTTGTCTCTACGCTACTATTACTGTCATTTCGTTAGGCCTGTGAACATGGGTTGCTATATCATAGATGTCACTGTGGCCAGCACGAAGCACGGTGATGTAAAAGTAACCTAAAGTCCTGCGGAGATAACAAGTCAGAAACAGTCACAAATAAAAACAGTGGAAGATGTGGGGTGCTTATCTCATCTGTGGTGTCCCGGTCATGCAACTCCTGCTAGAGGAATTAGGATTTAGGAAAAGCCTCTGTGAACACTAACTTGCAGCCTTCTATATGTCGGGGTTAACTTTGGGAGTCTGTATGAGAGCCATGCGGCTGGCTGTGGTTTGAGGTCAGATTTGGCAGTCTGTTGGAGCTGTCTTGGTAGTTGGTTGGTGCAAAAATGTGGTATTGTGGGCAGTTGTTGCTACTATGTATTGATATCTTCCTAGTGACCAGTGTTATATCAGATTCACCTTGGGGTGAGTGAAGTCTTGCCCTTAAGAGGTGACTGCCGCTTAGGAGACCATCATGGAGCCTCGAGGTTCATGATGCATGAGTCCGCAGTAGGACTTGGGCTTCCTGTATGTCTTGGATGATATGTGTGGTCGTCCCTTGTGCTACTGTCAGCGCCCTGGAGGAACGCCAGTGGTATTCGATGTTTTGGAGCCGGAGCACTGTGGTGAACGGCTTAAGTTAAGGGTGCCTCCGGACAGGTCTGTATAGAACTATAGTTCCATGTCTTCAAAGCGAAGGGGGGTTCTTCCCCATAGGGCAGAGAGGATCGTAGCTTTGTATTTTCTGTTGCGGAGGGTGAGGATTACATCCCTTGTGGCTGTTGTTGGAGCATTGGCCGGTTTGGGGACCCTGAAAACTCCCTCTGGGGCTGGTATTTCGGCTTGCCTGCGTTCCAGGATTGCTGGCAATAGGCGCCCCATGACTTTCGGCAAATCTGTATCCGGGTTTTCCTCGGGGACTCCCCTGATCTTAATGTTGTTTTGCCGTCTGGAGTCTAATTGTGCCGCGAAACGGCGTTCATATTGCTGGTTCTGCCGTTGTAGCTCTAGTATGGATTGTTGTAATCCGAATAAATCCTAGGCCTGGGCTTGTGTGGTTCCTTCTAGAGTGGTGATGCGGCCTGTCAGGCCTTGTATGTCCGTGGGGAGTGCTGTGACATCCTCGTGGATGTGCCTCTGCAGGTCCGCAAGTAGCCTTTTAAGGACTGCTGTGGTTACAGGCTCCGAGTCCGTGCCAGCTCCACGCTGCTTCCACCCAGTCTGAGATTGGGTGTCGGCATATAATCTTCCCCCATGTCATCAGATAGTTCCTCGGTGAAGTCCGAGCACCGGACGCGCAGCGCCGCCATGTTAGATTCGCTGCCGCCACATGTTTGCCTCCACCTCTCCCCTATCGTGAGCCCTGAGGTGGGCTTGTGTGGAGTCATTTTCTTCCCCTTTTTCCCCATATGGTCTCGGGGTAGTTTGCGTTGGTCAGGGTGGAAAGGGGGTTATTTTATGTCGTTTTATCTTCGTTTAGGGTACGGAGCTGCTCTCTTGCGACTGATCACTTCGGCGTTCAGGCTCCCTTTTTTTTTTTTTTTTTATGTATAAGTTTTTTTCCATAAACATCTCAGGACACAATATACAATGCTTATTTCTATATAACATCGCTAAGCCAATGCTCAATTCAAAACTAATGTTTACCAACAATTCTTCATAAAGTGCTATATTTATGGAGGCATGAGGTGGCCAGGGGGGCTAGATGGTGGTTTTAACACTATAGGGTCAGGAATATATGTTTGTGTTCCTGACCCTATAGTGATCCTTTAAATTTGAGGCACATTTTTTAAGAATAGGTTAATAAATAGTTCGGGAACTCTAATGCCCAACTCCATACAACAAGCCAACAGCTTCTGCGAAGATGTTCTTTCCATTAATCTCTCCAAAATATTCAACCTTTCTGATTTCAAAGCTAGATGTTTAATCAGAAACCCTTTTATGCCTAAGTAATTAAAAACCTCATTATAACCTAGGCTAGATTCAATAATCAATGTCTTTGAGTTTGTCTCTCATCAGATTTCTTGTTTTGGAGATACCCCTCTCCGTCCAATTTTTCAAAACAAAATCCTCTATATTAGCCGCAATATAGTTTAAAGAGAGACATGGAATCAATTTATTCTGGATTTGAAGATTTTTTTTCTAGATTTTTCCCACTGTTTTAATATATCTTGCAAAATCCTACTTTCAATTTTCACAAAAGGAGAACCCCTCTGATTTCTTCTAACTTGCCAAAATAACATACATATATCTTTATTATGATTCAGGAACT